ATACGCAGGAGCGGTGGCGTGCGCTGCGGCAGCAGGAGCCAGCGACCTTTCAAGATTCGGCGCACCCGTCAGAGCAGTGCGCATTGCCGCAGCCAACATCTCCGAGAAATCCTCGCGCAGCTGCTGCATGTCGCTTGGCCCACCACGCCCGCGACCGCGACCTCCCCACCAGCCACCGCGACCACCACGATGCGCGGACCGGTATGACGAGGATGGGCGACGCCGAGGAGAACCTCGCCCCCGATGCGCCGCCGCATTGCCCCCTACGGCACCATGACTCTGTGACTCTGCAGGCCGCTGCGCGACGGGATGTTCCGGCGCAGCTGCGGGGGCCACCAAGTGTGCAGAGTCGGGGCCGGCGCCCACCGCCTTCCCCCGCGCGGGGCCCCCCACGGCAGCTTGGACGGGCGGCAGCGCCGCAAGCGTCTGCATCGCAATGGGAGCCGACGCGCCAGACACGGGGACATCGCGAGGATGGCGGAGGCTCGGTGGGGGGGCAGGAGCCAGCGGGACAGGATTTGTCGACGCCGCAGCAGCGACAAGAAGAGCCTGGGGAGCAACAGCAGCGGCAGCAACAGGGGCCGGAGGCGGAGCATGCATGCTCTCTGCGGTGTGACCTTGGTCTACCGTCGACTTCTCCGCTTCAGTCGCCATTACGTCGAACGCGCCGCCAGCAAGCGATGGAGGACGCACGGGTGCGTCAGATCGCAGGAGGAAGTAGTCGTGATAGTCCGCTGCCGGGCGCTGCCAGTGCGCGGACGCGTGGGGGTCGAGCCGGAGGTCGCGGGCGTGGTATGGGTACGCGTGAGGGTGGGCCGGAGAATAAGTTCCAAACAGCAGCTCGAAGAGCTTTAACCGAGCTAGTAAGAGCTAATGAAGAAGTAGTGTCGGGGAGTATTTATGAGGTGGAGGAGGATGAAGCAGCCTCGCCCCAAAGTTCGAATGCCTCAGAGGAGGCCCAGTCTCAAACTCCAACTCGGCAGAGAGTCAGCTCAACCCACGCCCGGAGCGCGGCAAGAAATTTGAGAAATACACCCACCCAACCGCGACCCTCTCCACAGATCGGAACCGCATCCGACCACCTTACCACCAATGCCAACCAATTCGCCCTACCAAACCGTACACCATCACCTGCAATTGCACCGCGAACTGCAGCGAGGGGTAACCAACAGCAGCCCCAATTCCCCCCCCAGAGATCACCTGAAGCCCTCGCCAAGGACGACACGCTTTTCGCAAGCGTCAGTCACTGGAATCTGGACAAGCTACGCGACTGTCGCAACGCACCACTGGCACGTCGCCTTCCAGAAAAACTGCGCCTTCTCTTCACAATGGTAATTCTGACACCACTGCTACGACTCGCACGCGACCCTGACTCCATTCAGGCCTGGACGGTTCTGCTGTTTGCCGCTCGCCTGACGCTGCGTCAGCATTCGCCGAGACACCCTGACTGGAAGGCGACAAGGAGCCGATTGCGAAAATTCCTGCGAGGGGAGTGGGAATCGCTGTACCTGGAAACGGTGGATTCGTTGGATTTTCCATCCCCCCCAAGACACAGGCCAGATGACCTGGGGGCAATCTCCAGAGCTGAAGGACTGGCACGACGTGGCAGTCTGCGGAGAGCAGTCATGGCACTCGAGGCCACTCCAGTCAGCAAGCCATCCCCTGCCGTTCTGGAATCCCTCCGCGCCAAACACCCTTGCGCCTCGCGCCCTGACACACCCTGGCCCCAGCCTGAACCAGACTCTTACCTGTCCGTATCGCGCGAAGTTTTCCTGAAGCTTCTCTCGAGATGTGAGAACGGGGTAGGAGCAGGCCCCTCTGGCACGACGTTCGAGCACCTGCGCGTTAGTGGCCCTGATGCATGCCACGGTTAGTTCTCACTTACACGCGTTAGTCAACACAATCCTGCGTGGGGAGCTGCACCAGGAAGTAGGGAAGCTCCTTACAGCATCGCGTCTGATAGCCCTCGACAAGCCGGATGGAGGGACCAGGCCGATTGCCATAGGCGAGTGCATCCTCCGATTAGCAGCCAAAGCAGCGCTTACCCAGCTGGCGGAAGCCGCACGAGAGTTTTTCTTACCTCTACAGTTTGGAGTGGCCGTGCCAGGAGGAGCAGAAGCAGTCATTCATGTCGTTCGAACTTTCACAGCGGCCAACCAAGACGCACTGGTCCTGCAGGCTGACTTGGCTAACGCGTTCAATAGCGTTGACCGCCACGCCATAGCGACGGCCCTGAAGGGCTCTACGCTAGAACCACTGCTGCCATTAGTACGCTTCTCCTACAGCCAGCCTTCCACACTGCACCTGGACGCAGCTTTTGACCACCCGCCCTTGCACAGTGAAACTGGGGTCCGCCAGGGGGACCCCCTCGGCCCCCTTCTTTTTGCCGCTGCCATGCACCCAGCTTTGAAGGCTGTTGCGGAGGCACACCCAGAGGTCATCTGCCTGGCCTACGCGGACGACGTCACCTTCCTAGGAGAGCCGTCGGCGTGCGCAGCTGCCTTTGCCCACTTCACGGGTAGCCTGGCAGAAATTGGGCTCAGCCACAACCCTGCTAAGTGCGGGGCGTGGTCAGGCAGGACGCCCATGGACTGTCGCCTACCTGAAGGTGTACCAACCTGCAGCGATGGTTTGAAAGTGCTGGGCAGCTACATCGGCACCCCCACAGCAACCTCCGCCTTTGTACGGTCCAGCCTAGAGGCGATGGGTGCGCCGCTAGGGTTGATCGAGCGGATGGAGCCGCAGCTGGCGGGACTGCTGCTGTCTCGGTGCATCTCTCGCTGAGTGTCTTACCTAGCCCGCACGACGCCTCTGCCGTTCCTGCCCAAGGAGGAGTGGTCTGACTGGGGACGGCGGCTACTGGAAACACTCCTAACAGCGTGTGGCGTTAACCACCCGCGCGGAGACGTGGAAACTTCACGCACGTGGGCGCAGGCCTCACTCCCCATGTCGCTCGGTGGCCTCGGGCTGACAGACCCTTCTGTGGAAGGACGCTACAGCATCCTCGCCAGCTACACGCAGGCGCAGCTCCTGCTTGACTCACTGAACAGCGAGTGCACCGGCCCATTGGAGGTTACCCGCGAGCTGATGCGTGGCCCCTACACTCAGACCTCCCCGTTGACTGAATGGCTAGCGGAATGCGAGGAGGAGCTTCCACTGCCAGCCCAAGAAGTCCTGCTAGCGGAGAGAACAGCTCCAACTGCAGGAAAGCTACAGCATGGGCTGGCCACGGCTATTCAGGGACAGCGCTATGCTGTGCAGGTGGAGGAGGTGCGGGGTTTGGGCCCGAGCCCCAACAATGGTCACACACAGCGGATGTTGTCCCTGTCAGGGTACGGGGCGGGAGATTGGTTGAATGCTGTGCCCCTCTTCCCCTCGCTACGCCTTGAGGCTCCCCACTACGCCAACGCGCTCCAGTTTCGGCTGGGGCTCCCCTTTGCAGCTCCCGGGGTTTGCAACTGCTCGAAGAAAGTGAAAATCCTTGATAAACGGCTTCCGAACCACCTGCTACGGTGCGGGACAGGGGGGGGGCGTACCAACACACACAATGAACGTAGAGACGAATGCGCACGGATGGCACGAGATGCAGGCTTCATGGTGCATCTTGAAACTGCCGCCTTCAGCCCAGTGGAGGAGAAGAAGGCGGACCTAGCCTTACGTGACCGCTCTACCGGCACCATCTACATCTGTGACGTGACGGTAACCGATCCCATCAGCACCCGCGATGAGAATGCAACCAAAGGGCGGGGGTGGGCGGCACGGGAAGCGGCAGACAAGAAACACGGCCTCTACAAGGACCGCCCAGAGTGGGTGAAGTTTTTCCCACTCGCGGTCGAGACATATGGGTGCCCATGCCCGGAGTCGGTTGACTTCCTGAAGCTGCTCGCAGAAACAGCTGCACGGCGGTTTTTCAACGCCGAGCCCTCCTCCTACCAAGCTGCCAAGCTCTTACACCAATACCGGCAGCGTTGGTCGGTGGCTCTTCAAAGGGGGCAGTCGATTGGGTACTTGGAAAAGTGCAACATAGCAGCAGCGGTTGAAAACCCGCTACTCGAGACAGCAAGTGAGGCCCCGTCCCTTGGGGACTGCCTCTCGGTTCTTGATCCTGCACCAGACCTTGCTTAGAAGGTGCTGAGCTGAGGAGTGAGGAGGAAGTGTATTATGGGATTAACACCACTAGTGTGATACCTTTACCGTGCATGTCTGTTCACCTTAAACTATCAATGAAAGGGCCATTGGAGAGAGAGAGAGAGAGAGAGAGAGAGAGAGAGAGAGAGAGAGAGAGAGAGAGAGAGAGAGAGAGAGAGAGAAGGGGGGGGAGGGGAGACTCCTGTTTCTGAGCCCGTGGGAACGGGCGATGGTGAGAGATTATGGGCAACCCATAGCAGGAGGGTGCAATTTGGAACGTTTCATTCTGCTGCAATCAAGAGTGATTCCAGCATAGACCACGCACTGTTCCCCTCCCACCCCCCACCCAACCAGACGGAGACGGTGATGGGCAAGCTGCGGCACCCCACCATCCTGCGCCTACTGGTGCCCATACCCATAGTACTGCGATGCGCACTGGCCCTACCCTTTCTCCCCCTCCCCCTCCCCCAATTCAGATGGAGATGATGGTGATGGTCAAGCTGCGGCACCCCAATATCCTGCGCAAGCTGGGGCAGGTGTCATTCGCTGATGCTGCACCTTGTCTGTACCCTGCTCCCCTTCCAACCCATCCGCTCCTCCCGCCCACCACCCAATTCAGACAGAGATGAGGGTGATGGGGAAGCTGCGGCACCCCAACATCCTGCGCCTGCTGTGAAAGCTTCATGCTGTTCCCCCCCCTCTCCCCCTCCCCTCCCCCCATCTCCCGCCCCCCACCCAGACGGAGATGATGGTGATGGGGAAGCTGCAGCACCCCAACATCCTGCGCCTGCTGAGGGCGTTTCATGCGCTTGCACCTTGTACCCTGCTCCCCTTCCACCCCATCCGCTCCTCCCGCCCACCCCCCATTTCAGACGGAGATGATGGTGATGGGCAAGCTGCGGCACCCCAACATCCTGCGCCTACTGGGCGCGTGCATATCAGACGACAGCATGGCAATGATCTACGAGTTTATCCCCTGTGGGGACGTGCACGAGCTGCTGGAAGACGGTAGGTGTATGCGGCTGTGCTGTGCATGCTGTGCGCGTGTGCTAGGGGCGTGCTTGTGCTTGTGCGGTTTGAAACCCCTCAGGGGCTGCTAATGGTGCATGGGAGCATATCAGACGACAGCATGGCAATGATCTACAAGTTCATCCCCTGTGGGGACGTGCATGAGCTGCTGGAGGATGGTAGGTGCATGGAGGGAGGTGAGAGGCTGGAGGAATGGTGAGTGTATGTGGCTGTGCGTCTATGCTTGTTGGTGTGTGGTTGGAAGAGCCTCAGGGCCTGCTGGGGACCTGTCGATCTCCTGACATAATTCGCTGCTGGGGGCCTCAGGTGCGCATCAGACGATGGCATGGCAATGATGTACGAGTTCATTCCCTTTGGGGACGTGCATGACCTGCTGGAGGACGGTACGTGCATGGAGGGAGGTGAGGGGCCGGAGGGAGGGTGTGAGTGTATGTGGCTGTGCGTGTATGCTTGCTGTTGTGTGGTTGGAAGAGCCTCAGGGGGTTGCTGGGAGCCTCAGGTGCGTATCAGACGACAGCAGGGCCATGATCCACGAGTTCATCCCCTGTGGGGACGTGCACGAGCTGCTGGAAGACGGTACGTGTGGGTGGTTTGGTTCTGCTTGTGGGCTGTGCGCTGTGCATGTGGCTGTGTGCTTTTGGGTGGGTGGTTGGAATGGCCTCAGACACTGCTGGGCGCGTGCATATCGGATGACAGCATGGCCATGGCCCTACGAGTTCATCCCGTGTGGGCACGTGCACGAGCTGCTGGGGGGAGGTGAGAGGCTGGAGGGAGGTGAGAGGCTGGAGGGAGGTGAGAGGCTGGGGGGAGGTGAGAGGCTGGAGGGAGGTGAGAGGCTGGAGGGAGGTGGGAGGCTGGAGGGAGGTGAGAGGCTGGAGGGAGGGGAGAGGCTGGGGGGAGGTGAGAGGCTGGAGGGAGGTGAGAGGCTGGAGGGAGGTGGGAGGCTGGAGGGAGGTGAGAGGCTGGTGTGAGGGGAGAGGCTGGGGGGAGGTGAGAGGCTGGAGGGAGGTGAGAGGCTGGGGGGAGGTGAGAGGCCGGAGGGAGGTGAGAGGCTGGGGGGAGGTGAGAGGCTGGAGGGAGGTGAGAGGCTGGGGGGAGGTGAGAGGCTGGAGGGAGGTGAGAGGCTGGAGGGAGGTGAGAGGCTGGGGGGAGGTGAGAGGCTGGAGGGAGGTGAGAGGCTGGGGGGAGGTGAGAGGCTGGAGGGAGATGAGAGGCTGGAGGGAGGTGAGAGACTGGAGGGAGGTGAGAGGCTGGGGGGAGGTGAGAGGCTGGAGGGAGGTGAGAGGCTGGAGGGAGGTGAGAGGCTGGAGGGAGGTGAGAGGCTGGAGGGAGGTGAGAGGCTGGGGGGAGGTGAGAGGCTGGAGGGAGGTGAGAGGCTGGAGGGAGGTGGGAGGCTGGAGGGAGGTGAGAGGCTGGAGGGAGAGGAGAGGCTGGGGGGAGGTGAGAGGCTGGAGGGAGGTGAGAGGCTGGGGGGAGGTGAGAGGCTGGAGGGAGGTGAGAGGCTGGAGGGAGGTTAGTGGCTGGAGGGAGGTGAGAGGCTGGGGGGAGGTGAGAGGCTGGAGGGAGGTGAGAGGCTGGAGGGAGGTGAGAGGCTGGAGAGAGGTGAGAGACTGGAGGGAGGTGAGAGGCTGGGGGGAGGTGAGAGGCTGGAGGGAGGTGAGAGGCTGGAGGGAGGTGGGAGGCTGGAGGGAGGTGAGAGGCTGGAGGGAGGTGAGAGGCTGGATGGAGGTGAGAGGCTGGAGGGAGGTGAGAGGCTGGGGGGAGGTGAGAGGCTGGAGGGAGGTGAGAGGCTGGGGGAGGTGAGAGGCTGGAGGGAGATGAGATGCTGGAGGGAGGTGAGAGACTGGAGGGAGGTGAGAGGCTGGGGGGAGGTGAGAGGCTGGAGGGAGGTGAGAGGCTGGAGGGAGGTGGGAGGCTGGAGGGAGGTGAGAGGCTGGAGGGAGGTGAGAGGCTGGAGGGAGGTGAGAGGCTGGAGGGAGGTGAGAGGCTGGGGGGAGGTGAGAGGCTGGAGGGAGGTGAGAGGCTGGAGGGAGGTGGGAGGCTGGAGGGAGGTGAGAGGCTGGAGGGAGGGGAGAGGCTGGGGGGAGGTGAGAGGCTGGAGGGAGGTGAGAGGCTGGGGGGAGGTGAGAGGCTGGAGGGAGGTGAGAGGCTGGGGGGAGGTGAGAGGCTGGAGGGAGGTGAGAGGCTGGGGGGAGGTGAGAGGCTGGAGGGAGGTGAGAGGCTGGAGGGAGGTGAGAGGCTGGGGGGAGGTGAGAGGCTGGAGGGAGGTGAGAGGCTGGAGGGAGGTGAGAGACTGGAGGGAGGTGAGAGGCTGGAGGGAGGTGAGAGGCTGGAGGGAGGTGAGAGGCTGGGGGGAGGTGAGAGGCTGGAGGGAGGGGAGAGGCTGGGGGGAGGTGAGAGGCTGGAGGGAGGTGAGAGGCTGGGGGGAGGTGAGAGGCTGGAGGGAGGTGAGAGGCTGGGGGGAGGTGAGAGGCTGGAGGGAGATGAGAGGCTGGAGGGAGGTGAGAGACTGGAGGGAGGTGAGAGGCTGGGGGGAGGTGAGAGGCTGGAGGGAGGTGAGAGGCTGGAGGGAGGTGGGAGGCTGGAGGGAGGTGAGAGGCTGGAGGGAGGTGAGAGGCTGGAGGGAGGTGAGAGGCTGGAGGGAGGTGAGAGGCTGGGGGGAGGTGAGAGGCTGGAGGGAGGTGAGAGGCTGGAGGGAGGTGGGAGGCTGGAGGGAGGTGAGAGGCTGGAGGGAGAGGAGAGGCTGGAGGGAGGTGGGAGGCTGGAGGGAGGTGAGAGGCTGGAGGGAGGTGGGAGGCTGGAGGGAGGTGAGAGGCTGGAGGGAGGTGAGAGGCTGGGGGGAGGTGAGAGGCTGGAGGGAGGTGAGAGGCTGGGGGAGGTGAGAGGCTGGAGGGAGGTGAGAGGCTGGGGGGAGGTGAGAGGCTGGAGGGAGGTGAGAGGCTGGAGGGAGGTGAGAGGCTGGGGGGAGGTGAGAGGCTGGAGGGAGGTGAGAGGCTGGGGGGAGGTGAGAGGCTGGAGGGAGATGAGAGGCTGGAGGGAGGTGAGAGACTGGAGGGAGGTGAGAGGCTGGGGGGAGGTGAGAGGCTGGAGGGAGGTGAGAGGCTGGAGGGAGGTGGGAGGCTGGAGGGAGGTGAGAGGCTGGAGGGAGGTGAGAGGCTGGAGGGAGGTGAGAGGCTGGAGGGAGGTGAGAGGCTGGGGGGAGGTGAGAGGCTGGAGGGAGGTGAGAGGCTGGAGGGAGGTGGGAGGCTGGAGGGAGGTGAGAGGCTGGAGGGAGAGGAGAGGCTGGGGGGAGGTGAGAGGCTGGAGGGAGGTGAGAGGCTGGGGGGAGGTGAGAGGCTGGAGGGAGGTGAGAGGCTGGGGGGAGGTTAGAGGCTGGAGGGAGGTGAGAGGCTGGGGGGAGGTGAGAGGCTGGAGGGAGGTGAGAGGCTGGAGGGAGGTGAGAGGCTGGAGAGAGGTGAGAGACTGGAGGGAGGTGAGAGGCTGGGGGGAGGTGAGAGGCTGGAGGGAGGTGAGAGGCTGGAGGGAGGTGGGAGGCTGGAGGGAGGTGAGAGGCTGGAGGGAGGTGAGAGGCTGGAGGGAGGTGAGAGGCTGGAGGGAGGTGAGAGGCTGGGGGGAGGTGAGAGGCTGGAGGGAGGTGAGAGGCTGGGGGAGGTGAGAGGCTGGAGGGAGATGAGAGGCTGGAGGGAGGTGAGAGACTGGAGGGAGGTGAGAGGCTGGGGGGAGGTGAGAGGCTGGAGGGAGGTGAGAGGCTGGAGGGAGGTGGGAGGCTGGAGGGAGGTGAGAGGCTGGAGGGAGGTGAGAGGCTGGAGGGAGGTGAGAGGCTGGAGGGAGGTGAGAGGCTGGGGGGAGGTGAGAGGCTGGAGGGAGGTGAGAGGCTGGAGGGAGGTGGGAGGCTGGAGGGAGGTGAGAGGCTGGAGGGAGGGGAGAGGCTGGGGGGAGGTGAGAGGCTGGAGGGAGGTGAGAGGCTGGGGGGAGGTGAGAGGCTGGAGGGAGGTGAGAGGCTGGGGGGAGGTGAGAGGCTGGAGGGAGGTGAGAGGCTGGGGGGAGGTGAGAGGCTGGAGGGAGGTGAGAGGCTGGAGGGAGGTGAGAGGCTGGGGGGAGGTGAGAGGCTGGAGGGAGGTGAGAGGCTGGAGGGAGGTGAGAGACTGCGAGGGAGGTGAGAGGCTGGAGGGAGGTGAGAGGCTGGAGGGAGGTGAGAGGCTGGAGGGAGGTGGGAGGCTGGAGGGAGGTGAGAGGCTGGAGGGAGGTGAGAGGCTGGGGGGAGGTGAGAGGCTGGAGGGAGGTGAGAGGCTGGGGGGAGGTGAGAGGCTGGAGGGAGAGGAGAGGCTGGGGGGAGGTGAGAGGCTGGAGGGAGGTGAGAGGCTGGAGGGAGGTGAGAGGCTGGAGGGAGGTGAGAGGCTGGAGGGAGGTGAGAGGCTGGAGGGGGGTGAGAGGCTGGAGGGAGGTGAGAGGCTGGAGGGAGGTGAGAGACTGGAGGGAGGTGAGAGGCTGGAGGGAGGTGAGAGGCTGGAGGGAGGTGAGAGGCTGGAGGGAGGTGGGAGGCTGGAGGGAGGTGAGAGGCTGGAGGGAGGTGAGAGGCTGGGGGGAGGTGAGAGGCTGGAGGGAGGTGAGAGGCTGGGGGGAGGTGAGAGGCTGGAGGGAGAGGAGAGGCTGGGGGGAGGTGAGAGGCTGGAGGGAGGTGAGAGGCTGGAGGGAGGTGAGAGGCTGGAGGGAGGTGAGAGGCTGGAGGGAGGTGAGAGGCTGGAGGGGGGTGAGAGGCTGGAGGGAGGTGAGAGGCTGGAGGGAGGTGAGAGACTGGAGGGAGGTGAGAGGCTGGAGGGAGGTGAGAGGCTGGAGGGAGGTGAGAGGCTGGAGGGAGGTGGGAGGCTGGAGGGAGGTGAGAGGCTGGAGGGAGGTGAGAGGCTGGGGGGAGGTGAGAGGCTGGAGGGAGGTGAGAGGCTGGGGGGAGGTGAGAGGCTGGAGGGAGGGGAGAGGCTGGGGGGAGGTGAGAGGCTGGAGGGAGGTGAGAGGCTGGAGGGAGGTGAGAGGCTGGAGGGAGGTGAGAGGCTGGAGGGAGGTGAGAGGCTGGAGGGGGGTGAGAGGCTGGAGGGAGGTGAGAGGCTGGAGGGAGGTGAGAGGCTGGAGGGAGGTGAGAGGCTGGGGGGAGGTGAGAGGCTGGAGGGAGGTGAGAGGCTGGAGGGAGGTGAGAGGCTGGAGGGAGGTGAGAGGCTGGGGGGAGGTGAGAGGCTGGAGGGAGGTGAGAGGCTGGAGGGAGGTGAGAGCAAACGGAAGTTCACATGAGGGCAAGGAGGAGTTCAAGTTTCAGAACCGGATCAAGGTGGCCATGGGTCGTGCCTGCAAGGCAATCGAACCTCGCCCTCACAACCTCCCCTCCTTTCCCTCCCTTACCCGCGCTCGCCTCCCCCCCTTCCGCACCCTCCTCCGCCTCCCCCACTCATCCCCCCCTCCACTTGCAGCGCGTGCGGGCAAGGAGGAGTTTAAATTCGAGGACCGAATGAAGGTGGCCATGGGGTGTGCGGAGGCACTCTCGTTCATTCACGGGCAGGAGTACGTTCACCGCGACTTCAAGGCTCCCAACGTGCTGCTGGCCGAGGTGAGGAGCACCATACAGCACTGTGCTACACCGCACAGCACTGCAGAGCACTGCACAGCCCACTTGGCACCGGACCGCAGAGCTCGCGCGTTCACCCACGGGCAGGAGTACCTTCACCGCGACTTCAAGGCTCCCAACGTGCTGCTGGCCGAGGTGAGGAGCACCATACAGCACTGTGCTACACCGCACAGCACTGCAGAGCACCGCACAGCCCACTTGGCACCGGACCGCAGAGCTCGCGCGTTCACCCACGGGCAGGAGTACCTTCACCGCGACTTCAAGGCTCCCAACGTGCTGCTGGCCGAGGTGAGGAGCACCATACAGCACTGTGCTACACCGCACAGCACTGCAAAGCACCGCACAGCCCACTTGGCACCGGACCGCAGAGCTCGCGCGTTCACCCACGGGCAGGAGTACCTTCACCGCGACTTCAAGGCTCCCAACGTGCTGCTGGCCGAGGTGAGGAAAGGACCACCCTGGGCCACCAGAGAGCACCGCAGAGCACCGTAGAGCACCGTAGAGCATAGCTTTGCCGTTCACCACAGGCAGGAGTACGTTCACCGTGACTTCAAGGCTCCCAATGTTCTGCTGGCAGAGGTGAGGATCACTGTGGGGCACTGCACCACAGAGCACCGCACCGCAGAGCACCGTAGAGCATAGCTTTGGCATCCATTCACGGGCAGGAGTACGTTCACCGCGACTTCAAGGCTCCCTATGTGCTGCTGGCTGAGGGGAGGAGGGAGGGAGGCAGGCAGGAGAACCGTGTAGCACCTTACAGTAGGTAAGAGCTCTGGCGTTCATTGACTGGTAGGAGTATGTTCACCGCGACTTCAAGGCGCCTAACGTGCTGCTGGCTGAGGTGAGGAACACCATACTGCACCGCAGGGCACCATAAAGCAACGCAGAGCACCGTTTTGAACTGCAGAGCACTTGCAGAGCACTTGAAAGGCAGTGACCCTCGCGCGTGTGTTTTTTGAGAATTCTCAAAAAACACACGCTCGAACATATCACCCTTCCATGGAAAACCTGAAAGGCAGTGACCCTCGCCCCCCTCTCATCCCCTCATCTCCCATTTGCCTCCCCTGTTCCTTCCTCTTCTTCATCTCTCTTATTTTCAGGGCCTGTCCCCGAGAGTGGCCGACTTTGGGCTGGCGAGGATAGTGGAGAATTGGAAGGACCATGTGACGACCCCTCTCACCCTTCTGCCCCCCTCTCTCGTTTCTCCCCTTCTCTTGCCCTGCTCCCACCCTGTTGCACCCCCCTTCCCCCCCAGGGCCTGTCCCCGCGAGTGGCAGACTTTGGGCTGGCGAGGATAGTGGAGAATTGGAAGGACCATGTGACGACGAGAGTGATGGGGTCGCGGGGTTACATTGACCCTGAATACTTTGAGTCAGGTGCGGTGGGGTGGGAGGGAGAAAGAAATGAAGATACAATTGCACTAGGTGAGTCAGGCTGGTGGTTGACGAGTTGAGCGGGTGTGTTTAGAACCTCTCATAACGACCATGTGACGACCCGTGTGATGGGGCCGCGGGGGTACATCCACCTCGAATACTTCGAGTCAGGTGCGGTGGGAAGAAGAAAAGGGAGCAAAGAGAGTCAAGCGGGGGGGGTGAGTCAAGTGGGTGAGCGACCATGTGACGACCCGTGTGATGGGGCCGCGGGGGTACATCGACCCCGAATACTTTGAGTCAGGTGCGGAGGGAGGGAGAAAAAGGAGCAGTGAGGGAGTCAGGCGGGTGGTTGGTGAGTCGTGTCGTGTGGGTGGGTTGGTGAGTCAAGCAGGTGTTTTCTGCACTTCGTGGAAGGACCACCTGGAAGCACCCTCTGTTCTCTCTCCCTTTCCCTCCTCAGGCTACCTGAACGAGCACTGCGACACCTTTGCTTTTGGCATCTTCCTTATCGAGCTCGCCACAGGCCACTCGGTCCTCGAGGCCAAGTTCGATGATGTGGTGAACGGTGCTGTGCGGTCAGACGAGGTGGATCTGGGTGCGGTGATGGACCCGCGATTGCAAGGGCAGTGGAGCGAGGAGCAGGCGAAGACGCTGCTGGGAGTGGCGAAAGTGTGTATCACAACGGATTGGGATGACCGGCCCACCATGGATAACGTGGTTGAGATGATGCAGGGGGTGATGTGATGAGAAAACAGATCCCGGAATGGCTTTTGAGTTGACTCGAAATGAGCAGGCAAAGACGCTGCTGGGAGTGGCGAAAGTGTGTATCAGGACGGATTGGGATGACTGGCCGACCATGGATAATGTGGTTGAGATGATGCAGGGGGTGATGGGATGAGGAGGGGTGTTATTTGAAAGGAGTCTAAAGTGCTGCTACGGTAAGAAGAGGGAAATGTTGTCAGGAGGATTCAGTTCAGGGCTGGTGGGACGAGAAGGGCCAGGGCTGACTATTCAAAAAAAACCAGTCTGATATTCTGGGGGGTCCAAAAAAAAATAGTCTGAGGCGTATTTCTGGAAAAAAAGGCACTCTGATTTCTCAGGTTCCACAAAGTCATAAGTCTGAAGTATTCAGAGTTCCATTGTTGAAATCAGACTTACCGTTGCCTAATGCTAGTTTATTGCATAGAGTTATTTGAAGAGACTAAACTACGGGCCATTAACAACATTGATAACCTACCTACCTATTTACCATCCTTCCTCCTACCTACCTATCTTCCTATCCTATTAACTCGATACAATACCTTGTAGTGTCTAATCTAACCAACATGTCAGGTCAGCAGAGCAGCGTACATTCTAGTCTAGAGCTCTGGAACAGCCATCTCGATCCTGTCATCGCCATCGTCGGCTTCATCTCCCTCGTTCTCCGAAAGGAACGGGTTGTCTGAGGCATCCTCCTGGCCTGCACCCGCAAACCCCTCCTCACCGTCCTGATCTGAATCCTGCTCCTCCCCCCACTCACACACGCGGTCCTCTTTCTCCTGCACCTCATCTTCAGAGAGCTCTTTCTCCTTGCGCTTCCTCTCAGCTGCTGCAAAAACTGGTGCCTTGGCAGGGCGCCTGGGCTTCTCTCGCCACTTGGCAAGAGCTGCGTCCCAGTCGATCTCGTAGTCCAGCAGCGATATGGCCATCAGCTCCGCAAGTCGTGCGTTGCCCAGAGCGCCCCGCACCCAGGATTTGATCACGTTTTGGCGTGAAAATCCTCGCTCGCACTCGACCGTCGACAGGGGCATCACCGCGGTCGCTTGCCACATCCGCATGATGTTGGGCCAGCGTCTGAAATTAGACACGCACGGAGGAAACAGACATTACAAATGGCATGTTAAAGCACATCTATGGGAGCGGCAGCCAATGGCGAAACAACGAATAGACGCACCTGGAGGCCTCGGTTGTGTTCATGAAGTTGCGCAGACCCTGGAAAAAGCCCTCATCCTCATGGTGCGCCTCCATGATTGGCGCCCACGTCTGAAGCTCCCTCTCGGCAGCAGTCATGTCGAAGCCCGGGAGTTTGTCGCCAAAAATAGCACTGCATCCGTGAAGGTACTCCCGGACCTTCCTGTCGCGCTGCTGCCGTTGCTTCGGCCACTTGGAAGCTCGGAACAGCTTCGTGGGTGCCAGCTTCCTGAGATCGGAGAGGCGGAAGTTAAGCCTGGTCACACATTCCTGTGCAAACTTGGTGCACAGCTTCTCGCACTCCTTGTACGTGCTGCCATACACATGCCCTTTCAGGTGTCGCTCGTGCAGTTTGTAGACGCGGGAAACGGGATGTCCTTCAGTGTCCACGCCGCGCACCCGCACCTTTTTCCCCCCACCCCGCCCGTACAGCGTTAGAAACTCCGACAGCACAGGGCTCTCGCCAGCTCCGAAGATGTCCTCGCACTCAAGGTAGCACCGGCGCATGTCTCCCGTAGCCTCGTCAATGTCTTTGGCTATCTCTGTCACATCCACCTGCAGCAAGTCGTGACAGGGGCAAAGGATAACGTTAGTGATTGTGAGTTAAAAATACACGAATTCTGAACGGACGGGTTGAAATACAACATGCTCACCTCTTTCTTCTGGAACTTGAGGTTGAGCTCGTTCATGATGGCGAGGACGTCCGCAAGGAAGAAAAGACAAAACTGAAACTTGTACGATATGACTGTCTCGTACAGCTTGTGCTTGCTCTCAGCCAGAAGAACAATCGAGGCGCCGAGCACCCTGCACAACCGACGCACAGCCTCCCCGCGTGACAACCATCTGACGGTGTGAATGCCTTGGACCTCTAAATTAGTCTTGCAGATTGTCTTCTGGAGGTACTGAAAGCGCTGGCTCGCGTTGCTAGAGTTCGACAATAACGCGGCCAGTGTCCTGATGACCTTGTCTACCATCTCCATGTCAGGACATGCTAAGGCAGCATCCTTGACCGCCAGCGCTTCTCTGCACAAACACACGAATAACAAAGCCGTAAACAGCTAGAGCACGTATTGCGAGAACACAAATCAAATTCACAACATTTCATACCTGTGAGCGATGCAGTGCGCTGACACGAGGTGCGGGATGTGCTCGCGAAGTCGAGTGACAAGGCCGTTATCACAGCCCACCATCACGTTGGCGCCGTCGGTGCTGATCGCACAGATGCGCTGCAATTCCACCCCGACAGTCTGCAGATGACTCTGAATAACAGACAAGAGCGAAGCAGCGTCACATTTCTCGACCGGGAGATGAGCAAAAAACTCTGTGACAGGGCGGTTGTATCGCAGGAAGGTGAGATAGACGATGAGGTGTTTCCCGCGTGTGCGATCAGTGCTCTCGTCCGTGCTGATGCCCAAGAACGGGGAAGCTAGGATGTGCCGCATCTGCGTCGCCTGCAGAACTGTAGCGACGCAGTGTACAAGTTCTTGGAACCCATACCTGCAGTAACAACACATTGAAAAGCAAAGCCAGAGTTAGCCAAATGAACCTCTCCCGTGAAATCCAAAACAAAAATGGTTAGCCATCAAAACCTCACCGTGTAAGGTACACGCCGTACGACTGTTGAGGGAGGTCTGGCGTCTCCTGCTCAGCCAAGAAACGCACAAGCCGCGGATACATGGAAATCGGTGCGTCAACCTTACAGATGAAGTTCGTCGTGCGCATCAGCCGAATCACCCTGCGGCCCTCCACGTCCCTCCTCGTGAATCCGTCCAGCCGCTTTTGTTTGCCCTCGACCGCTTCACTGATCTCCAGCTGCCGCTCAACAGCTTCTTGGTGGACGGTCGAGTGCTCATGTATCCGCATGGTCTGAGTCTGCAAGTCGCGCGCGCCATCGCCGGGGTTAGAGTACTTCGTGGTCTCCTTCCCGAACGCCCGGCAGATGGCGCACTTGAGCGAAGGGTGCCCATCCTTGGCTCGGACGAGGAGCAGCCACGGAAAGAGCGGTCGCCACTTGGCTTTGTAGTTAGCTTCCGCCAGCAGCCACTTCTGTTCGATCTTCTCCTTGGCCGACAGTTTGATCGGTACCGGCGCTTCAGGTGAGGAGGCAGCAGGCGGTGAGGGAGGTGGTGGTGGCCTCTTAAACCTACCGCCAAGGCTCATGGTGCTCTGTACCCATTTCTGCGTACGCGGTTTTTTCGATGCTGACTGGACTAATGCAGAGGGCACGCTGTAACGCACAGTTGATTTTTTTTCAGGGTCTGGGAGATGACTGGTCCCTTGTTAGATGATGCCACTGCGGGAGGTAATTGGTACTTCGTCACAGGTGGAGCAGGAATAGGAGTGGGCGCTGGTGGATTACGGGCTACTGCCTTTACTACGGCAGGGCGTAGGAAGTCGAGCCCCGACTTGGGGACATCCTTCGAACTAGGGTGGTCAGCATCAGCAGACAAGGGCTCCCCCACACCGTGTCCTGTCATGTCTTACGAACTAGTGAAAACTGACTAGCACGACAAAGGCCACATACAGGGGAAGAGAGGCAGCCGAGCTTATGGAAGGCTTCTGAACTGAGCGGTGGGGGAGAAACCCCACCGCCATCCAGATGCATCCGGGACACCAAGATGCATGGATTGCTTCTGCCGTGGGTGGTGTCGAACCGCCATGCTCGTCACCATCCCGCCGCTGCTACCCAGCACAGCCACGAAGGAACCGCATAAGGGGAGGCGCTAACGACTTTGCTGATACAGCATTGGGTTCCTTTGGCTGACACTGCGTGGGAGCCAGCGATGGTCCCACGTGAAAGAAACAGCGAGCCAACTGGGCAGAATGCTAAGGGGATGGGTGGCAAATCTGCCCAGTACAGATTTTGCGCGTGACAGCGCGGTGAAGTGTTCTTGTACACTGGCAACATATGACGTTGCAGAAGCTACGTAGAAAGTACATAACCGCATTTCAGGATCCGTACTCCCTGTAGTCTGAAGACCCAGTATCCGCAAAGTGACTACTCTGAAATTCTCAGTACTCAGAAACAAGTAAGTCTGAAGCACTCATGTTTGGAAATTGAACAACTCTGAAAAATCAGGATCAGTAGGAAAATAGTCTGAGATTTCAGACAATCAGACTATTTTAGTCTGATAAAATCAGCCCTGAGAAGGGCGTTGTCTTGGAGTCGCCATGGTTGTGGAATGATGTGACATGCATGTACTGCTGTTTAGAGGGTCGGTGGTGGGATGAGTTTCTGTAGAGGCAGCTCTGGTGTGTGGGCTGCAGGGCCTCATAAGTCAGCGAAAAAAGGTTGATTTAGGTTAAAAAAAGGCTGAGATTTCAGACCTTTTTTAGAGCTGAGGCTGATTTTCCTGCAATTTATTGAAAAGAAACAGGAAATTTTAATAGATTTGTAGTGTAAAATGGCATAAAATGGCTGATTTGTCTGATTTTCAGGAAAACGTTTTGTACCAACTCTGATTTTTCAGCCTATGCCAAAACGAATCTGAGGCCCTGGTGGGCTGTACTGATTAAAGTATTTCAATATACGGTAGGTTCCAGTCATCATCGCTTGATAAAACTGGTCGGGTGAGTTAAAAGTGTTGAGTCTACAGCACCTGTGATGTGATGTTCATATATCCTTAAGTTGTAACGTTTAATCAATGTTCTGCTCTGGGCCTATGGCTTCTGATGTTTAAAACCAGGGTCTCAAGTAGACCAAGTGCTTTGCAGTCGATGAAAAACGGGCCTGTCTGATTGGTTTACAAATTTGGGGCCAAAGTTTTGACAAATCGAGACTCTCCAACGAACCC